GTGTGTGTGTGTGTGTGTGTGTGTGTGTGTGTGTGTGTGTGTGTGTGTGTGTGTGTGTGTGTGTGTGCAAAGCATCGCATCGCAACCCTTCGCCCACAAGCCAAGCACCCTTACACTCACGCGTGCGCTCGCACGCTCATACGTAAGCTCCTCGCCCTCGCTCGCTTAGCTGACCTGAAAAGGCGCCGATGTGCTGGGTGATACCGCCGGCCTCCTGCGCCGCAACGGACGACTCGCGAAAGGCGTCAAGCAGTGTCGTCTTGCCGTGGTCTGTTCACCAGCACACAAACGTGGGTGTGTCATGGCAAGTGAGAGGCTGAACGTGCTACTGGTATCGCAATAGAGCCAGAGATCACATCACCACACATGCACACGCACACCCATATGCACACACACGCATGCACACACATGTACACACACACACATGTACACACACATGCACACACACCCATGTGTGCACACACACACATGCACACACATGCACACACACACATGTGTACACACACGCTGACTCACCGACGTGACCCATGATGGTGACGACGGGTGGACGTGGTGCTGTTGGATACTTGGCCTTCTTTGGTTCCTTCTTCTTGCTTCCAGCCACCTTCTTGGCAGGTGCAGGGGCTACCGGCTTGCTGCCCTTTGCAGGCTGCTGTTGTTGTCGCTGCTGCTTTGCCTGAGCTGCCTGCTTCGGGACTTGTTGTTTCGCCTGTTGTTTCGCCTGTTGTTTCGCCTGTTGTTGCTGCTGTTGTTGCTGTTCCTTTGGACGCACGAGATCTGCGATGCGTGGCTTGTTGTTGCGTGCAGCACCCGAGGGCGCCTGCTTTGGCTTTCGCTTCTCCTTGGCCAGCCGCACGATGTTGCGCATGAACTCGCTTGTGTTGGCTGTGCTCTGGTCGTTGGAGAACAGGCGCGCCTGCCTGCACATGGTGCACACGCGCTCAGTGACATGACGGCCTGGTGTGCAGAAGCAAATCAAACATGTGTGTGGGGGCGGGGGGAGTGACCGAAGATGGAGGCAAAGAAGGACAGATCGGGAGTGCCAACACCGTCTCTGACTGCAACGCAACTGCATGCAACCCGTCCATGTGCAGTGAAGTGCGCGCACAGATCTGCACACATTGGTGTACCCATTCACGTACACACACGTTCATACACACACGTTCACACGTACGCACGTACGCACCTGTGTTGCGCTGCCATGCCAGAGCAATGGAGGATCGCAGGCCCACTGCCGAGGCAGCCAGTGTTGCCCGCACTGCACCACCAACCATCTTCCAGCCACTCGACCTTGTTCCTCGTCTTCCTCTCTCTTGTTTCGTTTCGTCGTTGCTGTCGTTTGCGCACACACACACACACACGAGAGGAAAGAAAAAAAGGGCAAAACACGTGACACCCAATACAGCCATCCACACTCGCTGCTGCTGCTGCTGCTGCTGCTGTTGCTGCTGCTGTTGCTGTTGCTGTTGCTGTTGTTGTGATTGTGCATGAGGATGAAGCTGCTGACGCACAACCTGCTTCGCTCGCGCGTCAAGGGCGCTGCAAAGGGCTACCCACTCGCCATCCACGTCAGTCGCGTTGTGTGTGTGTGTGTGTGTGTGTGTGTGTGTGTGTGTGTGTGTGTGTGTGTGTGTGTGTGTGTGTGTGTGTCTGTCTGTCTGTCTGTGTCTGTGTCTGTGTCTGTGCCTGTGTCTGTGTGTCTGTCTGTGTGTGTGTCTGTGTCTGTGTCTGTGCCTGTCTGTGTCTGTGTCTGTGCCTGTGTCTGTGCCTGTGTCTGTGTGTGTCTGTGTGTGGATCTGTTTGGCTGGCTTTCTGGCTGGCTTTGTGCTTCGCTCCCTCTGCCTCTCCCTTTGTCCTGTGTTCACCCCTCCGCTTCCCCCGCTCCACCACCCTCTCGCCATCTCGTGTACGCGCAGGCAACAACGGTGGAGACAAAGGAGGCAGACTTCAACCCAACGTTTATTGTGCGCATGCTGGACAGGATACAATGGCCCGTTGTCGTGCAGGCTGCCTCACAGGTGAGCCACCCCAGTTGCATGCGAATGCACCTCGATTCTTGGAGTTGTCGTCTTTCCCTCCCCTCCCCTCCCCGTCCCTTAGCCAACCCGCTCTTCGCACACCTTTTCGTGTGTCTCATGTCCACATCCCTGCATCACGCCAAATGGCAGGTTGGGGTGTCTGAGGATAAGGTGCCACAGACGGTTCCCAACGACCCCGAGAGCGATCAAGAGTTCCTCAAAGCCGCACACCACCTGCTGTTGGAGGTCTGTGTGTGTGTGTGTGTGTGTGTGTGTGTCTGTGTCTGTGTGTCTGTGTCTGTGTCTGTGTGTCTGTGTCTGTGTCTGTGTGTGTGTGTGTGTGTGTGTGTCTGTGTCTGTGTGTCTGTGTGTGTCTGTGTGTGTGTGTCTGTCTGTCTGTGTGTGCGTGCGTGCAATTGTCGCTGCCGCCCACATTCTTGCATGCACCCACCACCTTCACCACCACCATCACCACCACTCATCACCACTCACCACCATCCCATCCTCAATCTTCCCCCTCCCCTCTCGCATCCTTGTCCAGATTGAGGTGATTGAGGGCGAGCTTGAGTGTCCCGATACAGGCCGCGCCTTCCCCATCAAGCGTGGTATCCCGAACATGCTCCTCAACGAAGACGAGGTGTAGCATCCCCGTTCCATCCCAGACCATGTGCCCGGCTGTGTTTCTGTGTCTGTGAATCTGCCTGTGCGTGTTTGTCTCTCTGCTTGTCTCCTCTGGCTTTGCTGAGGTGCCCTCCTTATCAATCACGTCGCTCGTATCGTTTGTTCCCTCGTTGCATCTGTGTGTGTGTGTGTGTGTGTGTGTGTGTGTGTGTGTGTGTGTGTGTGTGTGTGTGTGTGTGTGTGTGTGTGTGTGTGTGTGTGTGTGTGTGTGTGTGTGTCGTCC